GTCATCATGGTCGGGGAGTTTACAGAGGCCATCTGAGGTTGGGTTGGTTGAGGCCAGAATCAGAAGTTCAGGCTCTGCAGGAACCCTCATGGAATGCGAGGCAGAACAGTAAGAGGCTATCGAAGAAAGTTTAGGGAAATCTATATGGTGTGCGGAGCCAGAATGAAACTCTACTGCTATGTTTTTGAGCGATCTTGTTGCTACGCACATGCTAGCGTGCTTTAACCCTGTCGGCATGCATCGGAAAAGCGAAATAGGGGCAGGTAGTAAGGATAGTTCGGTGGGAAAATTGTTCTAGCATTTTAAAACATCCCACACTCTGCTAGCCTCAACTTGGCCGCTTATTCCTCAAAATTTGGATCGAAGAAGATGGCAAAGTAGTGTGCGAAGAGCAATCGCTAATTTTGAAGGGTAAGGTTCAAACTATAATTGAAAAAAACGACAATGTACTGAGATTAATAGAGTCCTTTGTCTTTGTCGGCTCAATTGATCGATTGCCGGATCGGATAGGACTACCGGACAGAATCCTGGACTTGAGTAGATTGATCAAGTACAAGCTGGAATTTAGGAAGTTTCTCGAACTTCCCCTTACTCAGATCCATTTCCCCATTTCCTCGGTATGAGCTATTTTTCAAGGTCTCTGTTGAAAGATGAGAGCAATAAATTGAAAGTTGTCTGGCCCTAAGGTTACACATGCATATACCTCCTTCGCTTCACGAAGTAGGATTGCGTGGCCAACAGCTTGGGTGATTTTGAAACCCCGCTATTTCATCTCTTACCATTTAGATTCTCAAAAACCAAATTCGATAGAATTCTAGAAAGCCATTTCTTCCTTATTAACCGCAACCGCAACAAAGACAACCCACAAAATCACCAGTGCCGGGGGAATCCGACAAACGGGAGAGACTGTGGAAAGGTGGACGAAATGAGCAGATGAGTACGAAATCTGCGACTGTACCTTCCAAGAGGGCGAGTAGAGTCAACTCTCTGCTTTATTCATCCAAGGAAACAAAGAGCATCTTTGCTCTCTTCGCTGTTTTACTATGGAAAAGTATAAACGGACAAAGACAGAAGAAGGAATTTCGAAAAGTCTGAAGAGATGTGAATTTCCTCAACGAACCTTTTAGGCAGATACTTCATGCTTGGATTTTTAAGCTCACCAGAAAACTTCCAACCTGGCCATACCGTTTCGTGTCATATCTTCATCTCCTGACGGTGAAAAAGTGCCCTAATTCTGCAATTCCCTCCAGTCCTTTTCGAAATTAATGTCAATCCTGTTGTCATTAACAAAACTTTCAACTTTCAAACTTTCAATGCACAACGTAAAGTGGTATGCCATGTTTTGATGACATTAGCAACAGGTTCTGAGTTCAACTCTCACAAGAGGCCGACAGAAGACCATCAACCACTGAACGAGAAAAGGGTGTAAGATTGCCAGGACTTTGTAGGGGAATGCTAACAAGCTCCTGGAACCAGGGAATGACGATGTGTGTGGTTGGGTCCGGAAAGACACCATGGGATGCTAAGACTGGAAAAAAGGTGGAACCATGCCCATTAGAGTCAACGTGTTCTTCTGGAAATTCAGTCACAGAGCAGAGGTAGTCCTGAACCCATGGAAAGGTAAAGACATTTACAACTTCGCTGTAAAATAGTTCGTATCGTGCTGGGTGGACGCTGTTTCATGAGAGAATGATCTAAGGACTCCATCCATAGAGGACATATTTGGAACCTCTATGAGATCAAACTGACTTCTAACTTGCTTGAACCAAATCGCTAAGGATCTAGTATTCTGCGATTTTATAAACACCTTGAAGAATAGTCCGCTCCCACTTCAGTTCCTCTGAACGCACCCAGATTATCATGATCTAATCGGCGTCCGGAACTGTTGGGTAGAAGATTACCTACCAAAAAGTAAGGATTCTTACCTGGCGACTTCTGAGGCTACATCAGAGTGAGCATCGAGTTGCCTTCGTTCTACTACTAGCCCAGCCATGACTTCATCTTAACGACTGGTAAGTATTTGAGAATAGGGTCGAGGCTGTTAGTAAGAGGAACCTATGCCTGTGGACAAGACAGCGGTTCCTGTACCCAAGCTCCAACAGCAGACAGCGCTTCCGCGGCAGTTACCGTAACCTACCAGCGGAGATTCGAGCCCTTTCATAACAGCCACGATTACAAGAATCCGGGATTAAGACCGCCACCTTGTCTAGATGGATGAAAGCACTGAATTGTAACCCTCTGGGTTCCGCGAGCTCTTAATTAAGCTACATACTCATTCAAAAGCGTTGCTCAACGCGTTGCTGTCAGCGTTGCTCAACGCGCTTTGGAAAGGACGATGCTCGGAATTTCCCTGTACACGCGAGTGCAGAAGGGAATCCGGAGTTCCGAGCTCCGTCAACGAACGAAGATTAGGGATGCCGTTGACTACGCCAAGAAATCGAAGATCAGGTGGGCCGGAGACGTTATGCGATATAGTGATGACCGTTGGACCAGGGCGGTTACTGACTGGATCCCTCGGGACATCAAACGAACTCCAGGAAGGCCGCCAACGAGATGGTCAGACTTCTTCACGAAAGCTCTGAACGAAAGGAATGTTGAACCTCGTGTCTCTGAAGCGATTCACTGGACCACACTGGCTCGTAACAGGG